ACCCGAGGATGGATGATGCATGTGCCACTTCCGTCATCGACCATAATATGTCTTACATCAGTATCAAAAATATGTAAAGTAATGACAAGAGTGACATAGTAAGGAAAGACCAAACCATTGGTATTTGACTTATCGAAGATGATACTTTCTTCGAGTTTATCATACTGTTCGTGGGTGATGGACCGCTTGAGTTTGTGGGTGGTGGTGAACTTTACGTTGTTGATAGAAGCGTCGTTGCCTCCTCCGATAATTATTTTAATGGTCCGAACTAGTTAAGGTGGTTTGGGTGTTCCCTGGTGATGTTCTCATCCTCAGGCGAAGTTGGACCTTCCACGATCACTCATCAGCTCTTTCAAGTGCCCTTGGTGAAGCATGTTCACGACCTCCTGTCTAAGGGCGATGTAGTCCTCGGTTTTATGACCCCATTCCTGGTGGAATTCACAGAGGAAATTTGACTTTCTAGTGCTCGAGTCGGATCTCATCTTCTGTGGCCATTTCACTTTTAGGCCGAGCTTCTCTAGTGCGAAGACTATTTCTGAGGGGGAAACACAAAAATTGTAAGCTGATAATAAGGGGGCATACCTTTTTCATTTCAGTGGATTCCCGTTCGTGGCCGGGATGGACCTTCATCGTGGCGTAGAGGCGGCATGAGGGTGCCTCTGACATAATGCTGATGTATTTCTCGATTAGGTCGGGATCCCGCTAGATCCCTCCCGTTATCATTTCTCCGGTCTTTCCTAGACTCCATTTGGACCGAGGTCAAATGTTGGATAGGTCCGTTGAGATCGTCCTTGTCGGCTCTTACCTCGGCACAGTAGGCGTTGTGTATCTCGTCCCAAGTGGTTGGAGGGTATTTCATGAGTCAGCTCAGCAACCTTTTGGTCGACAACAACCCACTTCTACTTAGACCATTCTGGAAAGTGGTTACCGCCATTCCTTCAGAATATTTGGAAGGGTCATTGTTACATAATTGAACTGGGTGAGGAAGTCCCTGAGCCCTTCGCCAGGCGATTTCTTAGTGGCGAATATATCGTTCACCCTCGCCTCTGCTTTTTTGGCCCCGACATGGGCGGTGACGAACTTGTCTTCCATTTCCTCGAATGTTTCTATGGAATGCGTAGGTAACTGTGAGTACCAAGTCACAGACGTGGTTTGGTATACTTTTTGATCGAAAGCGTAATTCGGAATATTTTGGAAGCTTCAGCTTGAATCCGATGTATTTTGGGTGATTAGATGTTGTTTGAGGTGTTTTGAAGATTGGTACAAGTGTGAATGGTGGTATGTGACTTGTTTGTGCTTTTAGTTGAGGTCACTGGGGCTTCGGGGTGATTCTAGATGGGTGACGGAAGAATTTGAAATTGAGTTTTTGCAGCTGAAGCATTTGATTTCTGTCATAACCATACCTGTGGTTGGGAGGCTGCAGGTGCGATGATCACAGAAGCGTAAGGCAGCCGAAGATGCGGCCAAGTTGAAGTCCTTCAGGAACCACAAAAGCGATGTCGGTAGCGCATGTGCGAGTTTTTAACCGCCAAAAATTGGCAACTTAATGAAAACTGCAGATGCGGTGGATTTGGTCGCAGAAGCGGGAAATGGACCGCAGGTGCCAAAATGCCTGGGTCAGAAAGTATATAATGTTCCTTCGCGAATTTTTGCTAAGTTCTCCATTTTTAAAAACGGGAAGCGAGCCAGGGCAGTGAATTCAAGGGAAAATCGAAGAGAATAAGTTGGGTAAGTTCCCTGAGCTTCACTACTCATGTTTATGATCATTTTTCCATTGTTTAATCATGGTATTAGTGGAAATTAAGGAAGAAAATTGAGGGATTAGGGCTTGAGATTAAGAGACCTTTGAGTGGGGATTTGAGGGGCCATTTGAGGTCCGATTTTGATGTTCTTGATATGTATAAACTCGTGGGAGGACGAGGATTCTATTGATGTTAATTTTGTCTGATTCCGAGATGTGGGCCTGAGGGCTGGGTTAGAGCAATTTCGGGATTTTGATGTAGATTGGATATTTTCGAGTGGGCTTTGTTCCCTTCGCATATTTTAATGGTTATGTGCTGATTGTGGCTAGATTTGGAGCATCTGGAGGTCGATTCGTGAGGGCAAAGGCATCGCAAGCTAGAGTTTGGACTGGATCGAGGTGAGTAATGATTGTAAATGTTGTCCTGAGGGTACGAAACCCCGGATTTGCATATCGTTGTGCTATATTGAGGTGACTCACACGCTATATGACGAACGTGGGGTCGTGCACTGTTGGGGATTGTGACTTAGTCCATCCCGACTGACTGTTTTACCACGTATTTGATTGAAAACTATTTGCTATCATTATGTTTTGGGCTGAATGTCATATTTGGGCATCGTGCCAACTATTTCAATCCTTAGGGGATTTTTATAATTCCTCACTGTTTTGACTTTAAACTTGTACTCAATTATGCTATATTCTGCTGTTTTCATAACTCCGCCATGTTTACTCTGTTTTAACATATTAAATGATATTTCAAATAATATTTTGGGCTGAGCATCATGTTTTACTGTTGCCCGAGTGACTTACAAGATTTTGATTGAGTAAGGCTGAGGTCCTGTGTTGTGAGGATACTTTTGGGGGTGGGCTGCACGCCGCAACATTGATACACTGATTATGGTTATGAGGTCGAGGGCCTAAGATTTGTACGCCATGAGGTGGCTTGTTGATATGAGGCCGAGAGCCTAGTGATGATGCCACGGGATGGCTTGATATTGCGCTTGGGCCGTAAGGGGTCCCTCTAGGAGTCTGCACACCCTCAGTGAGCGCGGATACCCATTGTGATGGGAGACATAGCCCGAGGGGCTGGTGTTGTTCCGTGTTGTTGCCCAAGGGGCTGTTTCTGTTGGTATTTATGCCCGAGAGGCAGATTTTCTGTGCTTATATGTGCTAGTTGCTTTGCATTTAATTGCTCAACTGTTAAAAATGTATTTTAAAGAAGTTTAAACTGAGCTAAGATACTTTAAGAGGTTTCATAGCTTCATTGCTCTCTTACTGGTTTTATACTGCTTCTATACAACATGTTGACGTGCTTTATGTGATTTCTTATCGCTCAGTCTTCATTTATTATTATTACTCACTGAGTCGGAGTACTCACATTACTCTCTGCACCTTGTGTGTAGATTCAGATATTTATGCACCCGGTAGCGGGTATTGGTTGATCAGAGGCAGAATCATTGGAGTTTAGCAAGGTAGCTGCCCGACGTCCGCAACACTGCTTTTCTTCCTCTTGATGTCATTAGATTGTGTTTAGTATATTTCCAGAATTTCCTTTGTATTTTAGACCTTAGTAGATGCTCGTGACTTGTGACACCCCGATATCGGGTTGTATCTATTTCCGTATTGTTCATTTAAACTTACACTATGCAATATCTGATTAATTAAAAAGGCTTAAATTGACTTATTAAAATTATTGGAGTGAATCTGGGGATTTTGTTGGCTAGCCTTGTCTTCACGAGAAGCGCCATAACTACTGGATCCGGTTTGGGGCCGTGGCAGACATTTTCCCTACCTAACTGAAAGTACAAGTGCAAGAAATATTCTGTAGAATATTCCTTTAAAATATCTTATTACTAAACTAGTCGTTTGGGGCCGATCAGAGTGCTCGACCTCGACCTTAAGTGCTCAGCTCGCCGATATGTTATTCCTTAAGCGTGACCTTGGCCTATCAGCTTTTAGATATCCTTTCCTAGACGAGATTACTTCGATCAGATTTTGACCCATACATTTTGGTTACTGCATCTCAATCTATAGCTTGTACTTACACTAGTTACAATTAGACCGGGATGTGCCCAGGCCCAACAACCATAGTTAAAGGCAAAATTTTCATGTGGCATAACCCGTTGAATTTATATCCAATTTTTAGCAAAAGTTTAATTAATACCCAACTTTTAGATAACTTGAGACACATACACTTTTTTCTTCTTCTTCTTTAATGTTCTTTTTCTTGTACTTAGAGTTTCTTCTTCTTCTTTTTAGTTGCAAAATGAATTTATTAAATTTATATTGTTTAGACAATTTGATGATTGCGATTTGTTTTACGGTTATTTCGACAATTTGATGATTGAGACTTGTTCCTTATAATAATATTTGAAAGTTATATTTCAAATTTGAGCTCATTTGAAGTAGATTTGAGCATTCGTGTATTGAATTGTTGAAAATCGAAAAACAAGTTTATGTTTTAGAATTTAAGATTGAAAATCTGAAGTTGCATTCAATAGATTGAACTACTTAAGATTCGAATTTCTGAAGTTGCATTTGAAAAATAAAAGAACTTCATATTTGAATTCTGAAGTTGCATTAAAGAGATTATTTTTATTTTTTTCCAACGCATTAAAGAGATTAAACTACTTCAGGTCCGAGCAGATAATTGACTCAAATTAAACTTTGAATAATAATATTGATATTTTCAAATGTTACATATATAAAATTCCCATTAATTGATGATCATTCTCTATTTACAGTTTTATAAATGAAAGCTCTCAATAATATAATCAAACCTTATCGTAAACTCATAATTGTTGCTGATATTTAGTTTGTATTTTTGTCTCATTTTATTTAACTTAAATACAGATTAGAAGGTAAAATGATTTTGGCTTAATACATATTTTCCCCCTTAACTTGTATGCAAATTCGTTAGACACAATGCAGTTTACGTGTAATATTCTCGCCAATCTCTTTTCAATCAAATTAATTTTATTGGTAAGATAGTTTCTCTGCAATTTAAAGAAGAGCGGTTTTTGTTTTATAAATTTTTAAAAATCTTCGAATACAATTAAAACAACTTATATTCAATTTTAACTAAGATCTATGTTGGGTCCCGACTATTTGGATTTTGCTGCATCTTTTGTTTTTGTCACGACCTCAAATACCCGGTCGTGATGGCGCCTATCACATTACTAGGCAAGCCAATCCAAACCATCTACCACAATAAATTTCTTTTATAAAACCATTTTCTAACACTGATTTAAATCTCAAATTCTCAAAAGAAATGTATAAAACAGCTAAAATGTGCGGAAATCAATAAAATATTAAACCAACACAGCCTAAACATTTGGTGTCACGAGGCTAGAGCCTCTAAATATAAAAGTTCGACCGTTTAATACATAACAAATCTAAAATGCGGGGAAAACAAGGATAGGAAGGAAGAAAGCAGGGTTGCGGACGCCATGCAGCAACCTTGCAGTCTCCGGAAAACTCTGATAATGCTGAGTACCCTCACTCTGCCGCTCGGTCACCTGGATCTGCACACAAGGTGCAGAGAGTAACATAAGTACGCCAACTCAGTATGTAACTAAAGTAAATAAGGTCTAAAAGCAGTGACGAGCAGTTAAATATCATATAGAAGAGTAAATGATAGAATATCAAGTCAAACTCAACAGTTTTAAACCAGTTTCTTCATAAAACTTCCGTTTCGATTGAAATATTTTGAATCATTTACTTAGCAGTTTTCAATAGAGGCTCATTTTAAAAGAAGAGTGAAATCGGCAAAAACTATCATAAATGGGCCCCTCGGGCAAGGTATCACTCATAAATATAGCCTCTCGTGCACTCGTGACTCAGCTCTCATCTCAGGCTCAAATACACATTATAATAGTGATAATCATAATAACCGCTGTGACGTGCAGCCCGATCAATAGTTTATAGTCGACTACGCTCACTGGGGGTGTACAAACTCCGGAGGGGCTCCTACAACCCAAGCGTCATATCGCTGCGGCGCGCAGCCCGATCTATATAAGTATTGCTGTGGTGTGCAGCCCGATCCATAATATATACATATAATATTATTGCGGGGTGCTTCCCAATCCATAATATTTATAATCATCACCATTAGGTCCTCAGCCTCTCTCAGGTATTAACCTCACAGCCACTCGGGCATAACAGTAGAAATCAGGGAACTCAATCTGAACAGTTCTCACATTTTAAAAAGTAGAGTGATAAAATCAGTTTTAAATAATAAATAGGTGAAACATGACTGAGGATATGCTTTCAAACAAATAGAGTGCGGAAAAATAGTAAATATGCCCCTAAGGGTCTCAACAGGTCGTCACAAGGCCCCAAACATGGCATACAACCCATAATACAGTATAAATTTCTAAAATACGGGATATCATAAGATTTCAAATCAAGTACGTGACTTAATATGGCTACGGGGCGGACTAAGTCACAATCCCTACCGGTGCACGCTCACACGCTCGTCACCTAGCATGTGCGTCACCTCATTTATCAAAACGATACGAAATACCGGGGTTTTGTACCCTCAATTCCATATTTACAATGGTTACTTACCTCAAACCGGGTGAATTACTACTCTGCAATGCCTTTGCCTCTCGCCTCGGCCTCAACTCGCATTGAATCTACCCAAAATCAGAATCATAACATTAGAATATGCCAAAGGGACGAAGCCCATGCGAAATTAATCAAATTATACCAAAAATCTCGAAATTGGTCTAACCCGACCCCCGGGCCCATGTCTCAAAATTCGATAAGTCACATCAATGGAATCCTTATCCTCCCACGAGGTCATACATACCAAGAGTACCAAAATCCGACCACAAATGGCCCCTCAAATCCCTAGATTAAAGTCTCAAATTTCCAAGCCCTAACTTCCTAATTTAGGCTTCAAATTCCCCAAATTTCATGTTTAATTAGGTTAGAAATCACAATAGGATCGAGTATTAACTCCAAAATTCTTACCTCCAATAAGTTCTCTTTGATTTCCTTTCAATCCCTCTCAAAAATCTCCAAAACCGAGTCAAAATTGGTGGACATAGGCCAAAACTCACGAAAATGGTCTTTTAAACATTCTGCCCAGCGATCAGAAATCCTTCTTCCCGAACGCGGTCAAAGCCTCGCGTTCACGAAGCACAAAAATACCATTTACCAAAATTCTCTTACGCGAATGCGACCACACCATCGTGAACGAGATGCCTCAGCATCCCAAACCATCGCGAATGCGTCAGACAACTCGCGAACGCCATGCTTCCTGTTCTGACCCTTCGTGAACGCGGGACCTCCCTCGCGAACGCAAAGGCCAAATTTTCGGCCTCTCATCCTAGCCCTTGGTGAACGCGAGGGCCCACTCGCGAACGCGAAGCACAAATTTTCTACAACAGCTGAAGCCAAAACTACAACTTCCTTTAACTTGAAATGGTCCGTTCAACCATCCTAAACTCACCTGAGGCCCTCAGTGTCGCGCAGCCTTTTTCTCGCGAAATTGGGTTTATGACATTTGGTTGGGACAACTCGTTCCTTTTGGGAACAGGGTTTTGCATTTGAAGAGTCGCCACCTAATGATTTAAGGTGCATTAGGACACCAATAGGGTTCAATTCTAAGTTTGATTGAATAACCAGAGATAGGGTAAGGACTTGAAATTATCCTTATAGGAAAGTGTTATGCACCCCTCAGGATCCACTGGTGTGATTTCCGGCCAGACAGTTTATTGTAAATTTGTGTAATTAACAAGTAAATAGATAAGGCTCACATAAGAGAAGAGATAATTAAAAGAAGAGTTTTGAAAAGAAGTTTGCAAATAAAAGGGAAGGGGTCCTAGGTTTATATTTAATATGGATCACATCAATACGATACCCGGTATGACACTCCTCAAAATAAGGGATACACGTGGTATTAGCGCACCGGTCATCATATCCATATCTACCCTTCCCACCCCGTTAAGGTATTTAAAGCGCGGATTGGTCTCGATCACTATTGCATGCTATTACCTGTCCCATTCCTATCAGTCCCGGAGGAGCTTAGGACTACTATTTCCTAAAGGGGAGGGATATTAGGCTGATTTTGGTTTCAAAAGGTAAAAATCTAAAGCGACATGCAAAACACATAAACTGCATGTTGGGGGAAGCATATAAACAGATAAAGTTCCATGTACACCTCCTCAAATGAAAACACATAAATAGTATGATTTGCACATACTTTTAGGTCTGATTAAAATACTAAAGACGAGGGGAGTTTGATCATTGAGGCAGATTAGTTTATTACATAATTCAGATAAGAAGTCCCAGTTAGGTCTGCCTGCTGGTTGTAGCAATTAACAAAAACGGATTCAATTTTATGGTTATTACTCTAAGGTTTGCCTAAGTGTTAGATGAGGTCCTATAGACATGATATCTAATTGATTCAGAATGTGGTGAAACAGTAATAACTCAAAACAAATTGTTTGAAATCCTATAGGCATGCTTGCTAAACCTCGTTAAACAAGGGAATTAGGTTGTTTAAAACCAGTTCAGAATAGGCTGATTTAAACTAAATCCAGATTATGTAGGCAATGGTATCTAATGTTGCTGATTTTAATCCCTATAGGCATGATATCTAATATTGAATGATTTCAACATCATGAACATGATACTTACTTATAGCCGTTTAGAACCTAAAGCATGATATCTAAGTGGCATGCAGAATTTTAAATAAGTCCTATAGGCGGGTTATCTAGATGTGAAATTGATCATGAAGAAATTAAGATAAACCCTATAGACATGGTGTCTAAAATGCAGAATTGAACACGCAGAATAAAAAATAGTCCTATAGGCATGCTTTCTCTCCTTGAGCATACATGATTTCCCAACCCTTTTCACTAGCCAGCCCCAAGTAATTATTACAAATTATTACAGACCAGAAATAATTAAATACATCAGAAAAGTTCAAAGAAAAGTTACAACCAGAGGAAACCTGACTCTTGACTTCCTCTCTGAGTTATGGAATAAACCACCTCAAATGCCATTGATTCAAAGTCTTTCTCATACTTGAGTGTGTCAAAGTTCCCTAAGGGTCTCAATAGGACCATGGGCAATACTTGTCACACCTCCTTTTTACCACACGAGGACGGATATAAGGGAGTTTTTCTAATTTAAGTGACATTATTCGATATGCGATTATTTTATTTAATTTTTTCAGAGTTGCCACTTGGGATATTTATTATGGTGTCCCAAGTCACCGGTTTATTTTAAATCCCAAATCGAGAAAATTTTGACTTTATTTAAAAGTCCGCGAAACCAGAAATTCTAAACAAGGAATTCTGTTAACCCTGGAGAAGGTGTTAGGCATTCCCGGGGTTCGTGGTTCGAATACGACCGCATAAACTATTAATAATTGGGGTATTATCTGATTTCCTACATGTTTTAAACCTATTATGCATTTTTAGCTTTATAACCACTTTTTAATTATTTTAACTGCTTTTAGGATTTATGGAATTATTTTTTGAACAAGTTAAGATTGTCGTACACTTGCCGTTCTACAACACACCGCAAACCACGCTACATGAAATGCACCCGTGATTTGTGACATGTTTATTTTAATTATTGTTCGAAGTTGTGGTCGGGTCACTTGAAATGCACACCTGAATTGAAATTTATGTATCGTGACCAAGCCACGGGAACCGTACCCATAGTCATGATGATTTATTAATCGTGCCTAAAGCTAACTACGATATTTGATTTATTTTCTAATCTAATTTAAGATTATTTTAAGGCCATAGGTTATGGAATTTATTATGGAAAGAATAAATTAAATTATTTATGGAAAGATATCCTAGCTTATAGCCTTATCGGCAATTTTGGTCATGTATTCAAACTAGAAACTTTAGTAGTACCTCATTCACCAATTAAACTCCAAACCCATATTTTGGGCATTAACGATTACTCCAAAAAAAGGTACTAACAAAGAAAGTGAAAGAATGAGAATTAAGCAAATAACGCCCACATCTTAACACAAAGGAATTATCAGTAGATTCCAAAGCATACCAACACCATGCTTATTGATTTATCTTTATAAATAAAAAAAACTAAAAGAAACACCCAACTAGATTAAAGTATTCATCAAAGAAAGACAAAGTAAAGTAATAAATTAGTCATGGATCAACCTTAAGTAAAGAGGCTAAAATAAAATAATAATAATAAAGCATAAGATAGATTGGATCCCGAAGAGTAGCGACAAGAAACATACCTTTTTAAAAAGAAACAAAAGTCTGGAAATAAGACCAGCAACACGTTAACCATACTAAACGGGAACCTCACCGGAACTTTAGATGGATCTCTCACATGGAAGTTCGTCTATCTCGATCTATCTTCCATGACATTACAGGGCTGAAACGGAGCTTCGTCGGAGGAAAAAAAATGGAGAAATTGATGACTGTTCGGGTCTTTTTTTTAAAGCTGGTTTTAATGGAATTTCAAATTGGTTTAAGGTGATATATGTGAAGTGATATGGGTTGAAGACTCTTTCGTTTCTTTTTATTTTCCCACCCCCAATTTTTGTGCAAAGAATCCCTTGTATGTTCTGTGCGTGTATTTGGAGTTGGTGAAATTAGACCGTGAAGGTCTTTGATTTGGGGGAAGTTGGGAGACGGCAGTCTTCGAGATTAGGAGTGTTGCCGTTCTTTTTTTAGTCTTAGGTTTTGAAAACTTGGGTATTTTATATGTAGATGGGAAGGGATGATGACCATTGGATTAGAAGGAAATAGATGGCTAGGATTAAATCTTGCATATAAATGGGCTAATGAGTTGGGAAGAATGGGCTAAGGGTAATTGGGTTAGACCCTATCTTTTGGTTGAACTTAGGCTAAAAAGACCAAATAATACAATGTATCTATAAAAATGTAAAAATCACTCTAAATTAAAATAAACTAATATGAAACTAAATACTACGAGTGGAACTAATTTTTTTGTATTTTCAAATGTTATAATACTATAAATATAAATATACTAATTGACTTTAACCTAAAGATGAAAATATTTATTTTATTTTTTTGTAATTTTTATTTTTTGTGATAAACTATAGTAAAAGAGTCAAAACTATTTAAAATAACGATATTAAACCTAAACTAAATATTTTACGCTAAAAATGTGTAAAATCTTGGGGAGGGTAAAAAATCACATGCCTACAGTTGCCCCTCTTTAACTGGAAACACGAAGAGTTTTCAGACAAAGAACGACGAGACAGGTATTTTGACCTGACCCATATTTGGAGAGACCAAAAACTAAAAGAAAGGAGAATGTAACCGAGCCCTGGTATCTGAGCTGCCTACATATCCTTGGGTATAAAGGAATCAGGCCACGTGTAGTTCAGAAGTGAATGAGGTGATAGAGTACCAAGGTGGTGAGCCGATTGAGGTGACGTTCCGTCGAGGTTCCTGTCCGCGGTCCTATTATTACATCAAAATCAAAATATGAAATAGACTAACTAAACCTATCAGCTATGAGTTAGAAGATTCCTATCTATGAGTCTTCTGAAGCTTGATCTTGAGTCTTGGTTGGTTCTTCATGCGGACTTTGATCTGAATCTTGATGCTTGTTAGCTGCAGGTATTGGTTCAACCTTCTTCAGCTTTTTTAGATCAAGACGGGACATGCAGAGCTTGTGACTTCAATTATGTCTTGAGCAGACCATATCTTTTCTCCACTTCTGCACTTTGGATTCACTTTTTTTCTCTTTTATTCTTGATTGAGACTTCTTTTTTTTGTTATCTCGGACCCATGTCGACCCGCATTTTTAGGCGAGCTTCTGCTACTTCTAACTTGAATTGGATTCTGAAATGACTTCCCTCGTTCTCCAGGTGGGCGCCTGATTGCTAAAACTTGAACTGACTTCCTTTGAAACTTGAACTGCTTTCCCTGAAACTTGAACTGTTCTCCCTTGAAACTTGAACTGTCTTCCTTCGAAATTGCTTTTCCTTGAAATTTGAACTGTTTTGCCTTATTCTCTAGGTGAGCGCCTGATACTACAGCAAAACAGACAACAAAAGAAACTTTTCTGCCCCAGTTTGCACTAGGAATATTTGTGAGTTGTTAGCAGAACTATAGATCACCTACGCTGCTGATGAAGGATGCAATGATGAAAGTAAAATTAATGACTCGACAAGGATGTGTGTCTCCTAAATGTGATTGAACCTGTGGAAAACTATAAACTAAGCTTGACTAAAGTAAAGACTGGCCCTATTTTCTAGGCGGGGCCCCTGATTTCAAGAAAACTAAACATTGATAACTTAAGAAAACTAAAAATTGACCCTTTTTTTTGAATTATTCAAATTCAGACTTCCCTTTTTTTGAATTATTATCGTAGGAGAAAATTCATCGGACTAGGTTTTCTATCTTAGGAGAAATATTCATCAAACTAAGATTTCTATCCCAGGAGAAAGTTCATCGGACTAGGTCTTCTATCTTGGGAGAAAAATTCATCAAACTAAGATTGCGATCCCAGGAGAAGATTCGTCAGACTAGATTCCCTTTTTTGTTATCTTAGGAGAAAGATTCATCAGACTAAGATTTTTATCCTAGGAGAAAATTCATCAGACTAGGTTTTCTATCCTAGGAGAAAGATTATTAGACTAAGATTTTGATCCTAGGAGAAAGTTCATCAGACTAAGATTTTGATCCTAGGAGAAAGTTCATCAGACTAGGTCTTTTTTTTGTATCTTAGGAGAAAATTCGTTAGACTAAGATTTTTATCCTATGAGAAAATTCATCAGACTAGGTTTTCTATCTTAGGAGAAAGATTCATCAGACTAAAATTTCGATCCTAGGAGAAAAGTTCATCAGACTAGGTCTTCTATCGTAGGAGAAAAATTCATCAGACTAAGATTGCGATACTAGGAGAAGATTCGTCAGACTAGGGTCCCTTTTTTGTTATCTTAGGAGAAAGATTTATCAAACTAAGATTTTTATCCTAGGAGAAAATTCATCAAACTAGGTTTTCTATCTTAGGAGAAAGATTCATCAGACTAAGATTTTTATCCTAGGAGAAAATTCATCAAACTAGGTTTTCTATCTTAGGAGAAAGATTCATCAGACTAAGATTTTTATCCTAGGAGAAAATTCATCAAACTAGGTTTTCTATCTTAGGAGAAAGATTCATCAGACTAGGATATTTATTGGGAGAAAAATCCATCAGACTAGGACTTTTTATCCTAGGAGGAAAAAAATGTGAAGATCAATGGTAAGATTTTATGCACAATAGCAAGACAAATAAAGGCAAAGATTTGAGAAATTTCCCTTTGTCGGCTCTTCTCTTGATTTCGTTTTTTGATTTTTCATCCTCTTTCCTTTTGGAATCACTTTCTTTGCACTGCTTTGTTCCTATTTCACACAGAAAAATTTGTCAGTTTTGAAAATGGTGGTCGGTTTGTGGCCTTGAGTCCTGGGCAGCTTGCCATTTGCTTAATCAGCTTGAGTCGGTTTCAAGAGACCTTTGCTCTACATCAACCTTGATTGTTTCGCTCCCAGTGCCATTTGTATTTGTAGCTCAAACAGCCTTATCCCAACTTGAGATCTTTGCTTAGATGATATTTTCTGATATCTTGAATGACTTCCTCTTTTTGAGAAATTTGCTGTCAGAGAGGATCACAAGTTATCTTTGCTTGCGCCAAATAGGGTGACAAGAGTCTTGGGGGGAGCTTTTGCATGAATCCTCAAGGCATGTTGACTGTGACAACTGAGTGTGCTGGCCAAATTTACTTTATGTAACTGAAAAGCTAGCAGCAGATTTTGAAATCTCTTTTTGCTTGTTTTGACAAGGGGTGACTCTGAGTGAAGGACAGAATGATGCAAGGAGACAATTATTAACAAGAAATGCCCCTCTCGGAAGGACAGAATGAAGATTTTTTTTTCTTTTCATTTTTTTCGAATAACTAGCCTTAATGGTCATGACATGCATTTTGGACTCAACGGCATGATCTATCAAACTAATCCAATATTCCCTTTTGCCATTCTTATGAGCTTTGAATTTGGGCTTGTTCGTGCCAATTCTTTGCATCAGCTTCGTGACTCACTTTCGACTAGTGGTGCCCCGAGGGATTTTCACCTACAAGTCTCTCTCATTTATTTATCTCTACTTATTGTCGCCTTACAGTGCCCGTGAAGGTTTTCACTAGTAAGACTCTCTCATTTTTCTTTTTCTTTTGTGAGCAACTTGACAGTGTTCTATGTCGCTTGATAGCCGTTGCTCATTGCATGCTTCTCTTGGCATTCTTGATGGCATATCAGGAGGTATTTATTTGGAAGGTTTTTGGATAAGGTTGGAAAGAAAGGACTGCATGAAGGCTCAAAGTAGACTCGAACTGAGGGATTGCAGACTTACAACTATTGGAATCGACTATTTCAAAAGCGAAATAAAATCTTTACCCCAGTTTCAGATACTGGGAATTTTCTTGGATTTTTCTATTTTTTCTTTTTCTTTTTCGTCTAAACTCTTATTTGGTTGGACCGAACCGTGAGGCTGTCTACGTATTTTTTTTAAGGAATCAGGTTGAACGTAGTTCAAACATCTGACCTAACTAATTTTTTCATTTTTCTTTATGTTTTTTCTTTTCTTTTTTTTTCTATATTTTTTTGTTTTCAAAAAAGTTGCTCCAGCTTCTATTTTTTAGGACATGGACCTTTGACAACTCTTTTCTTCTTCATTTCTTTTCACATGAACTTTCTAAGAATTGCCCCGGTTTGTACTCTTAGGACATGGACTTTTCTTTTTTTTCTTTTTTCTTTTTTTGACTCTTGACTATATACTTGATTCTAAAAGAGGGTGGTCAAAGAAAATAACACAGTCTCAAAAGGGGTAACAAAGAGTATAAAGTATTTGAATAGCAGAAAAAGGGCCTCCCAGCCTCGAGAACGCCAATTATTGTATCTTTTGACAATCACAGCATTGACAAACATGTTTGTATTCTTGGTTTGTCATGGTCACAAGACACTTTCCATCCCTTAATGTCAAACTTTCGACCAAGCTTCAATTGATTCAATATCCTCAAGCCCGATCTTCACAATGATTTGACGGTGAATTTTACTCGACCTTAATTCCAAAGTATTTCAACTCTTTATTCATCCTCAAAAGTGTCTTGTTCTCAATCATCCAATTCAAGCTTAAATCAATTTTCTAAAATCTGGCCAAAAAGTCTGCATGCATGTCATATCACTAAAATTAGCGGGAAAGAAACTAAGCACAGAATGATACGAAAGGACAAACTGTATTTTATTGAATAAGGATGGAAGGGTTTGACAACTAAACAAGCAACCTAAAATCGAGTTACAACTCGAAAATAACCCTGATAATTAAAATAGCAACAAAACAGACAGACATGACTCATACAAACAGGATAGAGAGATAGAAGGGTTTGACTCAATAAAACAAATAAAATCTAGATCACAATCCTGAAATAATCCAGATAATAGAAAAAACATCAAAACAAGCTACCAAGATTCCTCCCTAGTGAGGAGAGAATGACTTTTCAACTTCTAAGCTTGACATTTAGCCACAAATTTGCTCATCAGAATCACCATGGCCTTTTCCAATTTCAGTCGGCAAATTCCCGAAAGAATTCTCATACTCCATGTCGCCACGCCTCACCCCTACAAAGTGTGCATCATCATGTGCTGGTAAAGTACTCTGCGCGATACTCTGGTTGTCACTGTCTTGGTTCACAATCAGTTTTTCCTGGATCATCCTTTCTATTTCTCTTTTCAAATCCCGACA